AAAAAAAAAAAAAAAAAGAAGAAAGAAACAAACCGATCCAGCCCAGTTTCTCATTGAAACAGTTGAAGGCGAAGCATGTAGCATGGGAAGCTAAGAGCTGCTACAGGATCCACCTTCACATGTGCTGATTTTGTGCTGTGCCCCGCATGACAACACGGGGCTTGACCCTGCGATACAATGTGCATAATGTATATACCAAGAATATAATACGAGGAATAATAAGTGACGTCTATTTGCTGAGTGTTTGTGTACAGCATCATTTTGAAGCTCTCTCAAACCATATTGGGTAGGTATCTTCCTTTGCACAGACACGGAACCCGATCCTCCAAGAAGGTAACTTGCTCAAAGTTACATAGCTTTAAAGCGGTGGAGCTGGGATTGGAACCTGAACGGTCGAATAACCACCCACCAAGGCCACCTTCAGCATTCCTCTGTGTCTCCTAAGCCCCAGCCACATTGACCGTCTCAAAGTTTCACGGTCTGGTGCAACCGTTTTACTCCTCCAGACCTTTGCACATTCTGTTCCCTCTGCTGGGAATTCCCATCCCCTTCTCCTCCATCTCTTCACGGAAGTCACGCTAACTCCGTGGCACCGAAATTGCACTCATTGCCCAACCTTCCTGGAGCCCATTTTTCATCACCTTTTATTTATTTGTTATATTTATTTTTTTTTTAATTTTTTTTTAACATTTATTTATTTTTGAGACAGCATGAACGGGGGAGGGGCAGAGAGAGAGGGAGACACAGAATCGGAAGCAGGCTCCAGGCTCTGGGCCTGACGCGGGGCTTGAAGTCACGGACCGCGAGATCGTGACCTGAGCTGAAGTTGGACGCTCAACCGACTAAGCCACCCAGGTGCCCCATATTTACTTATTTATTTTGAGAAAGAACAAGCACGAGCTGGGGAGGGGCAGAGAGGGAAAGGGAGAATCTCAAGCATGCTCTGACATTGGGCTCGATCTCACGAACCGTGAGATCGTGACCTGAGCCAAAATCAAGAGTGAGACGCTTAACCAACTGAGCCACCCGGGTGCCCCTTCATCACGTCTAACTGACTTGCTTTCACACCCGACGGCCTTGCCGATGTATGGCTTCTTTTCAAGGACCTCAGAGACTTGAAGTCAGAAAGACAGTTGGTTCTTTATGCTTTAGAGTCACTGACTTTTGTTAAGAACTGAGAAGGGGTCCTGTATCTTAGTTTTTTTTTTTTTTTTTAATGTTTATTTTTGACAGAAAGAGATAGAGAGCGTGAGTGGCGGAGGGGTAGAGAGAGGGAGACAGAGAAACAGGCTCTGCACTATAAGCCCGACATGGGGCTCGAACTCATGAACCATGAGATCATGACCTGAGCCGAAGTCGGACACTCAACACACTGAGCCACCCAGGCGCCCCCGTCTTAGTTTTTAAATGAATCCTCCATGTATTCAGCCAACAGATACATAGAGCTCCCACTGTATTCTCAGTGATGCTGAAGAAGATGGGAGGCTGTCATGGTCTATTAGGAGAACAGGAACCACTTCAGACATGCAGAACAGAACTTAATACGCACGAGTGATGGAATCTAAGATCGTAACGAGGCAGTCTAGAGATTCACAACAGCAGGAAGCCAATTCCACCCCTAATGGGAAGGCAAACCAGTCTCATAGAGCTGGAGCCACCAAGGCGAGGCAGCCCCGGCCAGCGACTCCCGAGGCAGGGAGAGAAATACCGGGCTTCTCTTGGCTTCTCTCTGCCCCCTTCCTCTTCTGGCCCTTCCCGCTGCTTGCGGGGAAGCTGACAAGAAAACGTGGGAAAGGCAGTCTTCAGGGCAAATCCGCTGTGATACAGGCACAGCACAGGACTGGCCCGCACACCGGTGGATCAAAGAAGTTGTCAAAACTTTCAAGGCTGTAGAGGAAAATGAGATACTCGGAATAAAGAGTACATTTTTAAATGATTCCAAGTGAAAATTTCTCTTTAGCCAGCCCACAGGCAGGACAGTTCAGCCACTCGTGGTGCTTATAACCTCAACCTTAGCTAGGCATCAGCAAAGATTCTGGGCAAAGGTGGGGAGTTTCCAGGCAATTCTTGACCCAATTCTGGTCCTTTGCTGCCTCAGCCTACCTTCTTCCTGTCTTCTCAACTCCGAATGCCCCCTCTTTTTCCTTCTTGTACTACTAACATTCTCTCCCTTTCCTCTCTTTTACAGGTAGTTTTCCATTTTGGTATTAATACTTTTTTTTTTAAGTTTATTTACTTATTTTGAGAGAGAGAGAGCAAGTGGGTAAGGGGCAGAGAGAGGGAGAGAGGGAATCCCAAACTCTGTCAGTGCAGAGCCCAACGTGGGGCTCAAACTCATGAACCATGAGATCATGACCTGAGCAGAGATCATGAGTCAGAGACTTAGCCGACTGAGCCCCCCCGGGCATCCCGGTCTATGATACTTTTATGAAAACATTTTGGAAAGTTGGATCTGAACAACTCCTTAACCTGTTGTATGTGAAGTTCAGTTCACAGAAAGCTAGACGCTATTATAAAATCCCTAATTACATCTTGTCTTTGAGACACAATCCAATTCTCTATTTCTGGTGTTTTCTTCATGCTTTTATTTTTTTCTTTCATAATTAAACACACAATCAGCTTATGCCTGTCTGTGGAGCATCTGATTGAAATTTAAGATCCTCATACTTTCTGTTTACCTAATCATTTCCGCCTTTGTTTCAAGAGGCAGTTGAGTTGAATTAAGTTCAACTGCTCTATGCTCCTTATTACTTGCGGTAGCACCTTGGGCTTCTGTATGTTCCCATTATTTTGACCAGTTATGGGTAAAATGCAATGAAATATGGAAATTGTTTCCCAAGCAGGTGCTGTTGAACAAAGATGACAAAGTGCTAAAATGGCTAGGCGGCCACTCTACCCGATGACTGCTCAACGTGTATGCTCAGCAGTCAATGTAGGAGACCCCAAATTGTGCGTGAGAGAGGCGTGTGGGGATGCCAGTGCTTACGCAGCGGGGCAGGACCAAGCCCAAGGACCCACTAGGGTGAAGAACACCCTGTCCCCAGAAAGTGGATTCCCTCACACGGCGGAACACATACTCTTGGAACATCAATGTTGACGAGAGCCCTGCTGATGTCAAGTAGAAGTAAGGTTTGGTGTTGTTTATGTGGTCCTTGTGGCTCATTTGAGGACACCAGACCTTAAGAAATAGAGAAATAAACCAACCAGCCTGCCTCTGGGAAGTCAGAAATGTGTGCTCCAGGTGGTCCGGAGTGGATAGGGGGTATTCAGGGAAGGTTTCCTGGAAGGACCATCTTGGATCAGGATATTCAAGGATGAGGAAGCCTAAAGAATGGAAACAGCAGATGTTCCAAAGGAAGAAGCAAGGACACTAGACTCAGACAGTCCTGGACTAGTCCCAGCTCTGCCACTTCCTCCCTACACCGTCTGACCAAGGAGACCAAGCATCTGAAGTTCTTTCAAAGTTAGCTCGTCACTGAGTGCTCAAGAGAGGGAGCCATTAATAGTTTCATTCGTTATAATTCTAGGCATCTCAAGGGGGCCAGTTCTTACTTAGGGTTCCCATGTCAGATCGTCTTTCTGAGGGCCGGCAAGCCCTGCCCCACTCACCCTTTTTCCCTTCCGTTTCCTCCAACGGTATCTCGGTGCTTAGTCCGTTCAGGCTGCTGTTACAAAAACACGACAGACGGGGTGGCTTACAAACAACAGAAATGTATTTCTCCCAGTTTGGTGGCGAGAAGTCCAAGCTAGGGTGCCAGCTTGGTCAGGTTCATAGTGGGAGAGCCTGCTCCCTGGTCCACGATGGCCATCTTCGAGCTGCATCCTCACCGGGGAAGGGGTGAGAGCTCTCTGGCATCTTTTCAGGGCACTCATCCCATTCATGAGAGCTCCACCCCCATGACCTAATCACCTCCCAGAGTCCCCACCCTCTAATACCATCACACTGGTATTAACATAGGAATTTGGGTTCATATATTCCCAACATATGAATATGGGGTTTCAACAAATGAATTTGGGGGAGACCCAAAGATTGAGTTCCCAACTGTATCTGCAGCTCCCTGAATGGGATTGCCTGCAGCACGGTGTTGAGTAAGATTCTGAGTGCTTCTGGAACGGATTGGCAATGTCTTCCGCAAACACAGAACGAAGCAGAATAAATGTGGGTGCTCTGATTGGCTACCAGGGCCTCAGGACAAAGGGAATTTAATAGGGGGCATTTTAGACAAGGTGGCAGCCCGTGGAGAGTGGCCATCCGGTGAAGCCGATGACAGCAGATACGCTTTGTTGCAGCATAAAGGGCACCTCACCAGAGTCCCGTTTTAAAGTGAGTTATTTGCTAGTTATTCGGTCTGAGGCTGCTAACTATGACTTGATAAAGATTTCTTGAACATATTGAAGTCTACCTTAATGCCACGTGGAAGCCGAAAATGGGACCCCTGGTCTGGTGGGATCTGCCCCTCTGGGTCTGTGAGCTCCTTGAGCCGAGTCTATTGTGTGTCCGTTGCCCTCACCTCCCTTACCTGCCCTTCTGGCCTCTGCCGATGGCGTTCTCCAGGCTCCCTGGTAGCAGGGCGCTGGGTGAGCTGTTCCCTTCCCCAGGCTCTTCAGTGCAGCAGCTTCAAACATCAGGTCCACCCTCAACTATAAACCAAGAAGGAAAGGCCTCAATGGACCCTGCAGCCTTTTCCGCACACCTGTCTCCATTTATCAGGGAGGGCAGTATTTCCCAGACGCCCCTTACGGAAGTCCGCTTACATCCAGTTGGTCCACCTGGGGTTGATGGCCAGTGGTGGCTGAAGAGGAGGCTAGAAAGTAAAACCTAGCTTTCCTAACTTCTTTTGGGGTGGTGTTTTTTATTTGAGAGAGAGAGAGAGAAAGCAGGTGGGCATGCTCAAGCAGGGCAGAGGGGCAGAGGATGGGGGGAGAGAGAGAGAGAG